GAGCCGATGAAAATGCCGCCGGAGATAGAGGGAGTAGTTGCCAAGTACCCTGATCTATTTGAAGAGCCGACAGGGGTTGTAGAGAGGGAGGTCGTCCACGCGATAGAGATTATCCCAAGGTCTAGTATCCCGAAGGGTAGGATCTATCGGATGTCTCAGGGCGAGCTCGATGAGCTTCGCCGACAACTCAAGGAACTCGTAGAGAAGTGTTGGATTCGGCCGAGTGTCTCTCCTTATGGGTCTCCAGTTCTATTCGTACCTAAGAAGAAGGAGGGAACACTTAGGATGTGCATTGACTATAGGGGCCTCAATGCCATCACTGTAAAGAACAGAGAGCCCCTACCGCGCATAGATGATCTGCTACATAGAGTGCAAGGGTGTCGGTACTTCAGTAAGATGGATCTGAAGTCCAGGTACCATCAGATTGCAATCCAGCCCGAGGATCAACACAAAACCGCCTTTCAGACCAGGTGCGGTCTGTACGAGTTTGTGGTGATGCCTTTCGGCCTTTGCAATGCTCCTGGCACCTTTCATCACGCTATGAATCGGATATTCCATGACTACTTGGGTAAGTTTGTCATCGTGTACCTCGATGGTATACTTATTTTTAGTAAGACTGTCGAGGAGCACGTGGCACATTTGGACAAAGTCCTCAGTCTCCTGCGACAGCACAAGTTCAAGGTCAACGGTGAGAAGTGCGAGTTTGGCCGCACCCGTGTCTTGTACTTGGGTCATGAGATATCCGCGGAAGGGTTGAAGCCCGATGACGCAAAGGTGGCCAGCATTCGTGACTGGCCACGTCCTCAGTCTGTGACTGAGATGAGATCTTTCTTAGGAATGACAGGCTACTATAGGACTTTCGTTAAGAACTAAAGCATAGTGGCCGCTCCTTTGACTGATCTGACCCGCCTTGACACCCCATGGGAGTGGACAGATGAGTGTGAGGCTGCTTATAGACATCTGAAGCATGCATTGACGCACTACAAGGTCTTGAAAGTTCTTGATCCTGATAAGCCGTTTATAGTCATCACGGATGCCAACCAATATGGCATTGGCGCCGTGCTCGCGCAGCAAGAGGGGCCAAAGTTGAGGCCTGTAGAGTACATGTCCAAGAGAATGCAGTCTCAGAAGTTGGCTAAGTCCACCTATGAGAAGGAACTCTATGCGGTTTACAAGGCTCTGACCCATTGGAGACACATCTCCTTGGGAGGTTATTCATCCTCAGGACTGATCATCAAACCCTGAGATGGATGAGAACTCAGCCAGAACTCTCAAATGCTCTCAAGCGTTGGATCGAAGTCATTGAGCAGTACGACTTTGACCCTCACTATCTGAAAGGGGAGTACAACAAGGTTGCTGATGCCTTGTCGCGTAGACCTGAATTCTATGGTGCGCTGATTACTGAGTTTGATCTGATGGACAATGTTACTCAGTCCTTGGTGGAGGCCTATCGGGAGGACCAGTTCATGTCTGAGATCATACATAGATTTCAGGCGAAGGACAAGAAGACCTATGTCGAGTTTGAGTTGGTCAATGACATGCTGTTCCTTGAGAAGGCAGGGAATAAACGATTGTGTGTTCCTAATAGCGAGTCTTTGCGTAGTTTATTTTTAGGTGAGTGTCATGATGCCACCAGCCATTTTGGGTACAAGAAGACCGCAGCTAATCTGGTGCAGCGGTTTTGGTGGCCCACGATGATGCGAGATGCCGAGCCGTACGTGGAGACTTGTCAAGTCTGTCAGAGGGACAAGCCACGAACACAGGCTCCTCTTAGGCTTTTGAAGCCCCTTCCGATTCCGGAAAGGCCTGGTGAGAACTTGTCCATGGATTTCATGGATACGCTGATCACCAGCAAGAGTGGGATGAGACACATCTTCGTTATCGTGGATAGATTTAGCAAGTATGCTAGATTAATAGCAATGCCGGAAACAGCACGAACGAAGTATGTAATCAGAATGTTCAAAGAGAACTGGGTCAGGGATTTTGGTTTACCGAAGTCCATTATCAGTGACAGGGATGTCCGATTTACAAGCGAATTGTGGAAGGCCGCTGCTGCAGAGCAGGGAACTCAGTTGCAAATGACTTCTGGGAATCACCTAGAGGCCAACGGCCAGGCCGAGCAACTGAATCGCGTTGTACAACATCTGTTGAGGCATTACATCAAGCCGAACCAGGTGGACTGGGATGAGAAACTTGCTCTCATCACCAGCATGTACAACAATGTTGTACACATCACCATTGGGGTGAGCCCGAACAGTTTGCTATCGACTTTCAAGCCTAGACTACCCTTAGACTTTCTCCTTCCTGAGAATCACTCAACTGCTGCACCGGGTACTTTAGAGTTCGCCTACAGATATGAACAGAAGATGCAGCAGGCGATAGAACAGATGCAGAAGGCACAGACAACAATGATAGAGTCTGAGAATAGACACCGTTTCAGGTTGGGGACAGAGTTTGGGTAAAGTCCTCAGAACTAGGACAGGAGTACGGGATTTCCCGTAAACTCATGCCACAGAGCTTTGGGCCATGGGAAGTCTTAGATATCGTCGGGACTGATCCCGATGGACCATCCTATGTCATCCGGATCCCAGGTCATCTTCGTACTTACCCTGTCTTTCACGCCTCCAAGCTGGCACCTTTCAAAGAAACAAATCAGTTTCCATCTCGCCGCTTAATGCTGCCCCCAACCATGGACGGAGAGGTGGACATCGATGACATCGTGGACCACAGAGAGTTGCTGGTATCAAGACCAATAGGCAGGGGACGTCCTCCGAAAGCGAAGCTGCAATATCGCGTTTGGTTCCGGCATCACACTGATCCAGGTTAGGGTTCACCAGGGAGGAACTCATGCAGACCGCTCCGCAAGTTGTAGCCCACTACGAGAGATCTCTGCAGAAGGGAAAGCGCCCTATGGTTGAAGATTGAGCTTCTCGGAGGACTGTTGAAGCTAAGGAGGAGGGAATGCGAGACCACTGCCTCTATGAGCCCATTCAGCCCCCATTTTGGAGCCAGTCGGCCGCCCTAAGTGAAGGCAGGCTCGACGAGCCCTCAGGGCCTTATTTCGGCCACTGCGTAACTAAGGAAATTCAGGCAGTTGCGCAGCGCCAGTTGGTTGAGAGAACCCAGGCCCTGGGCCGCCTGTGTGAATGTATGGAAAGCAGGCCCTGGGCTGGATACGGGTACTGGGCCAAACACACGCCAAGGGCAGTTGGGTGCATGCAACCACCTCAGGCCCCAGGCCTGTTCTCGATCGTGTTGGGCCTCAAGCTACCGGGGCCTATTGGAAGCTTCCTGAACTGGACGCAGGCAGGCCACTTCGATATAGCAAAGGGCCTGCCTCCGGATTCCTCATTCGGGTGCTGTCTGCATGCTGCGCACGCGCTGCTGCGCTATTTTGTTGGCTGGCGCCCACACGCTCACGGGCAAGCGAGGAAGGAGCAGGCAGCCATAGCCGAGCTGCTGTAAGCTAGGTGTGGCGCAGGGTGGTCCTTGGGTGCAAGTGGCATCTGTGTGTTGGGGAACGAGGTTGTGAGTAAGGCGAGAGACATAGCTGGTGCTGGAAGTGTGCGACATTGGTCGCTGTGTGCTCGTACTTCGGGTGAGCTGTTGTCGTCAACTTCGACATTGTAGCATAGGCTAGATAGGATCTGCCACATGTAGGCTGGGCGCCGAGCGTCAGATAGGATAGCAACTCTGGTTCTTCGTTGATGATGATGATGGGACTATTTCAGCATTGTCAATTATGAACTCTTGGTGTGTTCTTATTTGGTGAATCTCGTGATGCAATTCTGTTGTTGGTTCGAGGTCACGACTATCTGGACTCATATGTATGATGCTGTTTGATTGCTGAAGTTCGCTATTGCTCATCTTCCTTGCAAGTCTAGTTGGTAGTTGTTCATATATGCATCTGTTATTTATCTTAACTGAAAAATGACAAAATGCTCGGAAAGCCAAAAAGTCTGTGATTCTTTTCAACCAATGGGATTTGTGAATTTGAAGGGTAAAGGCTACAGAATAACTTGATCAATGTCCAACATCGAACAAGAATGTGGCACAGTCTCACGTGCTGTGCCGGACCCGCCGGGATGGCGGTCCGTTAGGATGGAGACGAAGAAGGAGGGAGAGATGGAGCTGGAGGGGACAGCGCAGCTCCGACGCAGACTCCACACGCAAGTACTCCAAGATCTGCGAAAGTGAAGAATGACCAAAAAACAGACTGCAGCTGGGGTATACCCCCAGCGGACTGACTGGACTGGACTGGACTGGCCTGGTACCGACCGTGGTACCGGGCGGGACTGGACTGGACTGAAACAATATACGGCCTGTGGGGTCAGGCCACGGCCTGGTCCCACAGGCCGAACTGGCAAATAGCCAAATAGGCCCTGGCTGTAGGCCAGGGCAGATGAAGGCCCGCTGCACGTGCGCTCAGTCGCATGGGAAAGGTAGGGACGGGAGGGTGGGCGGCAAGTACATCTCTCAGAGTAAACTCCAAGGGGGTACCCACACAACCATATGAAACATCATCAGGCTCAGAAGGAGGATAACAACACGGCACCAGGCTCAATGGAAACCATCAAACGGGTACCGCCAACTGAAAGGAAAAGGGCACTCACACAAGGGAGCCTGATAGGATAGAGGGCTATGTCGGCATAGACATGGCCAGGGGCTGCGAGCGAAGAAAACGTACACTCCGGAGGAGGGCGCGCAGCATAGGGTATGGTAGAAGGGCGGCAGACGAACACACCCACATGAAGAGGGAGAACAAGGGTCATCATGCGACTAGAGGGTAAACTCGAGGGTGAAGGGTAGATGGGAATGATGGAGCTCCGTGGCCGGAAAGGTGAAGTAGTCCAACTGACGAGTTGCCAAGCTGAGGTCGAGTCAAAGTAGCGAAGATGAAGTAGGTGTAGCGCGAAAGCCAAGTACAAGTCCGGACACTGCGATAGGTACTATGGTACGGAAGAGAAATGCTGATGTCTAAAGACGAATGTAGAAAACGAAATCAGGAGCTGCTGCATAAGTGTCCAAGAATGGTAAGAGAGAGAAAGCGTATAGGGGGTATAGATCAGTCACGATAGCGAGAAGGAATTCAATGAGTACGCTGAGGGCGTGAGGAATCAACCACAATAACAGGCGAAACCACATCCACGGGGGAAGGAGGACCTGAGGCAGGTGCTGGTGAAGTAGGAGGACCCATCGATGGAGGAGGGGGAATGTTAGTGGTCGCTAAAGTAGATGGGTCAATAGAAGGACGAGAAGTAGGAGGGGAGGATGATGAAGGGAAAGGATGAGCACGATCGTAAACACGCACGAAAATCATAGCATGCTTCAGGTGCTCGAGAGACTCCCAAGAAGACTCCTCGTCAGGGTAACCCTTCCATCGAACAAGATACTCGAGGCGGGGAGGGKCACCATCAGTCATACGTTGAGACGCGATATCCGAGACGACAAACTCCTCGTGACCCTTGATGATGATGGGAGAGGGGCAAGGGTAAGGTCGACCGTGGAACTCAGGGGGAGACCGTCCGAAGGGGTGCAATACAGATATATGAAACACATCATGTAGGTTAAAGCGATACATGGAATTGGGGAGCTTTAATTTGAAGCTCACCGGACAGTCATGATTAGGTCCGGTGGGTGAAAGAATAGTGCATGGACCGAGGCCTCGGGCTGAAGTGACGTGCGTTGACAAAAATTTTGTCGCCAACTTTGAAGGGGTGGTCGATGCGAGAACGGTTGGCGCTAGTAGCCAGGCGAGCTTTGCCGAGGATCTCATCCATCTCCTTAACCAAGTCGTCAAGGGCAGGGCATTTAGTGTCAGGATGGACCTGAGATGGACGAAGAAGATCAGATGAGACATGGGGGTGGTATCCCAAGTCACAGTAGTAAGGCGACATGTCGGTAGCTGGTGAAATAGCATGATTATAAGTGATCACGGCATGGGCAAGATGAAGGTCCCAATCAGAGTCATTCTCAACAAACTTCTTGAGAATATTCCCAAGAGTTTTGTTGGTGACCTCAGTCTGTCCGTCTGACTGGGGATGATAAGAAGAGGAAAAGTGAAGCTCAGAACCGTAGATCTCCTGGAGTCCACGCCAAAAGTGGGAAGTGAAGCGGGGATCACCGTCAAAGACAATACTAGTGGAAAGATCGTGATGAATGACGATGCGGTTGAAATAGAGAAACACAATGTCTTTGGTTGAACTAGCACTTGCAAGGGAGGAAATGGGCATGCTCAGTCAACCGATAGACAACGACAAAAATAACGTCGTATCCTCGTGGGGTAGCGGGACGAAGAGGACCCATGAAGTCCATGGAGACAGCGGTCCCACGCTCAGTAGGGATGGGTAGAGGCTGAAGAAGACCAAAAGGGGGGTGGTTGCTGATATTGGCCTCTTGGCAAATCTTGCACGTGCAGACATACTCCTTAACGAAGGTGCGATGGTGCCTCCAATAGTAATGGCGGTAGAGGCAGTCAAGAGTCTTGTAGACACCGAAATGACCTGCGGCAAGCTGATCATGACGCTCAGTGAAGGCCCGAACGTCGAGCTGGCCGGTAGAAGGCACACATAAGCGAGGAGTACGGGGATGATTAAGTCCAAGCCAATGCACGAGTCCAAAGGGGTCGAGCTGGAAGTTAGGGACGGTCTTGCCAGCCTGTAAGTCAGTGTAGATGTACTGAAACTCAGAACATTGGGGGTAAGCACAACGGTACTCATCTAGGAAGACAGGATGGATGGTGGGAGTAGATACAGAAAGGGCAGAGAGTTGTCGATCATCACACTTAAGGTCAGGGCGACGAGATAAGGCATCAACGACACGGTTGCTCTCGCCAGAGATCTTCCTGATCGTGAAATCGAACTCGGAAAGATCACGCCACCAACAAGCCTGGCAAGAAGTGAGTTTAGGCTTCGTCTAAAAGGCGGCGAGGACACAATTGTCCGTGAGCACGATGAAGGTATGCCCATGTAGATGATGATACCACTTCCTAACAGCGTAAACCAGTGCAAGGACCTCACGCTCGTCAGCAGTATAGTTACACTCTGCGGGAAGTAGCTGTCAAGAGAGAGAAGCAACCGGACACTCGCCATCGCGAGACTCGACTGTGTCGGCATCAGCAACGTCGGGAAGATATGGTGGAGGGGCTCCTGAAGAAGTGGGCTCGATGGGAGCTAGATGAACCGCCGTCGCTGGAGGTGGGGAAGGAAATCGAGGAATGCGCGAGAGTCGAGACTCTGTAGACTTGGGAGATGTAGAGGGGGCAGAGTAGATTTGAGATATGGCAAAGTTTGAAGCATCCATTGTGAGCATGAATGGGCGAGAAAAATCAGGAAGGTGTAGAACGGGAGTTGACGTGACAAGCCGCTTAAGAGAGCGAAATTCCAGTGAAAGGGTAGACGTCCGCAGGTGAGAGGGGTCAGCTGGGCAGTGTACTGCTCGCAATTTACATGACAAGCTATTTAAGAGAGCGGATGGCATCCTCATGGGCTGAAGTCCAGTGAAAGGGTAGACGTCAGCAGGTCAGAGGGGTCAGCTGGGAGTGTACTGCGCGCAATTTTTTAAGAAAATGACCATAGTAGTTGTTCAACCCAACAAAACTACGTAGCGCAGGAAGGGAGGTAGGATTGGGCCAGTCGACAATAGTCTGAATCTTCGAGTCGTTCAT